GCAAGTACTATGCACTTGTAACCATTGATTCTCTTTCTAAGTGGCCTGAAGTCTTTTTACAACTTTACTAAATTCTGATTTAACAATCCAAGCATTAAGAAAAATTTTTAGTCGAGAAGGGGTTCCTACGGTGTTAGTGACTGATAATGGCTCTCGTTTTGCTGAGAATGCAGTCACTACCTGATTGAATGGCATGAGGTGCAAACGCCTGTTCACTTGTCCCTGGCACCCTTGTTCCAATGGTCAGATAGAAAATTTTGTCAGGACATTGAAAACTGATGTTGATTCTATTGCTGCTTCAACATTTAATGAACTGGAGAGGGGATTAGATACATTACTACTGCGATATAGAAATGCTAAATATTCTGTAGCGGAATAAACTCCATCAAAACTATTAAAAAGAAGAATTCTTCGTTCGAATATGAGATATTTAGAGTCTGCAGAAGCTACATATTATAGTGGGAATGATCTTCGAACAGCCATGGGGATTGTGGTGAAGAATGTCGGGAAGTCTATGGTGTGAATTTTAGATATAAATGATTTCAGTACACACAATCGACAAATCGATCAAATACAATTCCATGAACCAAACGAGTCCGTTCCAATTTCAGTTGGTAATTCTAATACTATTGAGTATATTCTAGATCATACAGAGTCTATATCCAATACACAGTCTGACAGACACATAATGAACCTAAGGAGAACATATTCCATTGATTACAGAAACTTAGGTAATAATTTAAGTTATTGCAGTTGTGATGTTTATATGAATTAATGATTCTTTTGTACTTGATATAAGCCTGATTTTGAATTTCAAATACAATACGTTCGTTTGTGTTCATCTAATTCTGTCTGGCTTCCATTTCACTATTTCAGGGATTCCTAGTTCGTATAATAATTCATATACTTTACACATTGGTTGGAAAGTACTTTCAAAATTCACTGTTTAGTTGAATGTCACTGTTTGCTCGTCCCTGTCATACAGTCCCATTCATAATGATATTATGAAAGGCTTACAAAGGTATAATGACACATATTCTACGCTACAAAACCCAGGTGACCTTATCGTTTCATAACCTGAATCTTGAAGACTAACATTGCATAACCTGTATGATAACAAATGTTGCATAGATACAAACAATACTGTTCAAATGAATCATCGATCGATTGTTTCCGAAATCAAAATTCATTTCACATAAAGTTCCTATCTCATTTTAAGCAATGAAATCAGATTGTCATTAAATTTTCGGTTCATAGTTTCATTCATTCCATGTGCTTCAACTAAACTTGTTGAATACATTTTTTTATTATTTCAAGGTCAAAATACTGGCCTATCAGAATAGTTTTAAATGTTCAATACTATAAATTAAGAATCTAGACCGTAACTAAAAATCTCTTTCTCAGAAGGTATGACATATGGATCGATATGTCCAAGGTCACCACTCGTCTTTAAACTAGTGCAAGATAGTCATATTGCATGAATTAATTAATAGTTTAGTATACCGTAATATGGCGGTGGTCGAACAGTCGTCATTTTGAGGATCTATATTTCACTATTTATGTGAGTTACTATTAGTAAATAGAACTCCAAAACATAAAGAATACCGGCTACGTCAAAATTTAAGCCAACAAGTAATTGAAACAACAACAAGCGCTTCGTTAATTTGCAACGTTATACGGATTCAGTTGTTGGTTTGCTAAACTATTGAAATTCTTGGAACTTAACATGATATCACTTCATTTGAGACAGGATTTAGTGTTAAGCTCTTTTAGAAATCTAACAATTCAATTTGGCGACAGTGAAACAACGGAGACATATATGGTTGTTTAGTGTAGGGCTAGCAAAATGTCACTAAGCCCTAGTCAAATCATTCAGCAGTTTAGTCATAGAATATCGAGCAAATCATCGACCCTCGTCAAGGTCAGGGACAACCAATGCGCATCAGTTAATCGTATGCCATGGACTGGCCCATGCGGCAGTGGTCTTACTTTCGCTTGTATCTACTTTAACTAGTATATTTCTGTAATAACGTTCTCTGTGTTGTACAGTCTTCTGAGCATTTATGGTACCTTGATACGTCAATGGGGTAGTCCACACAAGGTGCTGACCACGAGGTATGACTTCGACATTAGCTAGTTTGTCACACCATTCACGTGTAACTCGAGTAGGCCTCCAATCATTTCAACATAGATCATCTACTCTGGTGATCTACACTAGATTTCTACTAGTCGGTACTTGGTTTGAATTACAGACAACAATGTTCTGGTATATTCCTCTTAAATATTCACATTATGATTACATTAAACCTCAGTTCTTTGGTTATCAACACCAAACATTTTTAGTCATTCGAATAGACACGAAATTCAATGTAAATTTCGGGATGTTCAACAGCAATAGAGAGCTAAACTAAGTTCCAGGCAATGACTGATGTACGTCTATCCTCAGATTATTTTTCCACATACTGAAATTCATCACTACATCAAGTGTATTAGTTACGTGCTAGATGTATGACGTCAAGTATGACACATATATACACTAACCTTTTATCCTAGAATATCTCTTAAACCAGATAGTGATGTTCCAATCATAACTCATGCTAACAAAAGGATAACTCGTAGTGTGATAGGGGTTAGTATTTGCGTTAGCACATCGGACAACGTGGTTTTCGATTAGGTGCAAGAGCACACAAACAACTGGAGGGAGGGAAAAGAATATTTTCAACCGTTGCCTATGAAAGCAAGTAGTCTAAACTTACTTAAAATTCAAGAAATACATTCAAAAATACACAAAACAAAGTTACTACGCGTGTTATTCACTCGAGCGAAATCAGTCGTTGTAAATCTTATTTGCAATTAATGTTCATCAGCCTGTGATTGGTTTACATATTTGCTCAAGGTCAAACGCCGATGTATGGGACCAATCAACATCCACTCTACTTATAATACTATTTGTTACTGTATCAGTTTGCGAAAAAATATATCACAGCAGTGGCGTCCAGATTAACGTACCTATAGCGTGCAGTTATTGGGTTCACACATGAGATTAGTTACTATTATGGTGTCGTTAAATTTTGTGTTCATTCAGAGTATCTGTATACAGATCGTTACTTTGTGTCCAGAATATAAAACGGGTAACCTGGGAGCACTGTGTCCTGCGTTTTGACTTCATTAGTGCGTGGGATCTGGTATTAAATAATCAACAAATTGTTGGGATTTCATGGGAAGATAAGCTTCCATTACGAATATGATGGTGTAGATCACCAACGTAGATGATCCATGTTGAAATGATTGGAGGCCTACTCGAGTTACACGTGAATGGTGTGACAAACTAGCTAATGTCGAAGTCATACCTCGTGGTCAGCACCTTGTGTGGACTACCCCATTGACGTATCAAGGTACCATAAATGCTCAGAAGACTGTACAACACAGAGGACGTTATTACAGAAATATACTAGTTAAAGTAGATACAAGCGAAAGTAAGACCACTGCCGCATGGGCCAGTCCATGGCATACGATTAACTGATGCGCATTGGTTGTCCCTAACCTTGACGAGGGTCGATGATTTGCTCGATATTCTATGACTAAACTGCTGAATGATTTGGCTAGGGCTTAGTGACATTTTGCTGGCCCTACAATGGTTATGTGGCTGGCAGTGCGGTTAGTGGTGCAAAGTTTCACGTAGAATATGCTAGGTACTTAAAACCTAAAAACGTACAGTGCTTTCCTAGTCTGAAACGAGAGAGGTCTAACTAAAGCTGTCTAGTCTCCGTAGTATATATTCTTCCCAAACAGATCAGTACTACCTCAAATTACCGAGGAACCTAGTAATCCTAACACATTCGCTCAATGAGGTTTCATCAAAATGCGAAACAACCGGTAGGAATTAGGAGTAGTAACCAACTATAAATATAATGAAATCAGCAACAAGCCAGAGAATAAGTCGTTTGGAAATATCTTCAGGTTGTTGACTAAGATAAATTGTAGCTTGTGAGGAAACTCTTATAATATAATTTAGACTGATGGTACGCACTACTTAGTAGTATTTACTCGTAAACTACATGACATGATGTAAGGTGCACACCAATTTATTTGATAAATACCGTCTATGAAACGATGACTGATAATATGCTCCTTCATGATTATCCATGGTCTGAAATAGGGTAGAATCTCGATGTCGAAACTTCTTGGACTTTATTACAAACTGAGAACAATCGGGCGGATATTAGGAATTCTGGTGACAACTTATTAGTGAAGACGTTTGCAGGTAACAGACATTGTCCGAACAGCCTATCAAGCAACCATCTCCATATTTTACCAGAAAAACACCACATGGGCTCTCCCTACCTACATAGCTCACTGTTGAAATGGTTGTTTTAAGACTTGTTCTCCTTTTTACCGTATGCAGATTTGAGAACTTAAAAACTGACGACACTCAGCTCTTGGTAGTGTTAAGGAATCTTGCTCAAAGTTCTGGGATTATTATGTATAGCCATAAAAGTCGCTTCGCGGCAAATGACGTGAAATGTTAGGTCAGAAATGTAACAAGATATCCCCTCACACAACCACACATATATATCACTTCAATTTGGTACTTCCCTGTTTTAACTAAACTATTGAAACTCTATCTTGCTAGGTGCGAAGTTTAACTTGCCAGTGGCTGAACACTTGGTGGTAGTAAATTATTAGGGGGCTTAGTTACTAAGAGACTTACAACTACCCAGCCGACAACGTAACATAACTATCTTGGTTTTATTATGAACCAGTTAACTAACCTTACATCACTACTCAGTGAGGATACAGCATCACAGAAGTTTCATTTGACAAACTGAAGGTTGAGTACATTAGATTCGCATAGAACTTCTTAAGAGCTATCACAGAAGCCTTAGTGCTTAGTCGAAGGTTTACCATTTTGTTGAATATCATCCACGGATGATGGAGAAATCTTGTGACACACAAAATAGTTGTAGCAACTTACAACGCCCTCATCCCGTGAATAACCACGCAACAACACTGGGAATCAATCCTCTAACTGCATTTAAGAATATTATCTATGAGTCGGAAAATAGCGATCCAATTTCAGTGAATGTGAATTGGCTGTTCGAATATGTATGATATTGTGTACATCGTAGTGCGGAGTGTTCAGTTTTAAGGAGAATGTAAATAACACGAAAACAGTAGAGGAAGCCATATCCCCCAAGGATTCAAAGTAAACTCAGATAAGGTTTTAAGTGTGTGCATAATAACGCTAAGAATCCACCATTGAAACTTGCAACAAAGAAACATCAAACTCAGTTGTACATCGGAACATTGAACCGCGAAATAATATTTTCGAGGTTAATTTCCAATGTCTGAAAACAAAAAACATACTCTTTTACTGTGATACATATTTAGCCTAGATCACAAAATATTAAAGTATATAACTGAGGGAAAATCAATTTAGGGCTAAAGTCCCTGAATACAAAGAAAAGAAAATTTACATACATAAATACATACATACACACATCCTGACATAGATGAGAACTGTACAGACGTATTTTTACTGGGTAAATGCAATAGAAAAAGTACACATATCTTCATTTATAAAGGAATATTTCAAGAAGAGGGGATATTAATCAAATCCCCAGGTTTATTGACAATTTCTTGATGCTTTTCAACTGACATAAGCATTTACAACATTTGACCATGAACTATATCGACGTAATCGATCAACTGACCTAACAATAAAATAATACATATTATTCGCTTGAACATGAGTTAATGTACACGCCATAGGCAAAGGTAAAGCGGCTACTTCACCAACCTGAAGATATGCAAAAAAAAGAGAAGAAACAAAATAAAAGCAAAGTATATGATACATTCATGGAATTATCACAATGAATAACTAATGACCTCAAGTAATTAAGTACAATGTTCCATTTTGAAGACAATAATAACAATTAAAGATCCGATCTTATTGAACATTGTTTAAATTACGGGGTAATTGAAATGGTTCATTCCTTTTTTTTAAATATGTCCTGATGATGTTGTCTTAGAATGATAGTGAAAGTTTTACAACCAAATCAACTAGTTGAAAGAATATAACAATGACGAAATTCTCATTCTGAATTACAAATATTTGGCCGTCACTATTTGAATATACTAAGATAGATTCCCACCATATTTTCTACGTTTGTCTACCTGAAGTAGTTTAACCTCTTTGATATCGGAATAAATACAACACTGTCTAATGATTCTCAAGAGTATTCTTAAGTCAATAATTAATAATTGAACTTGACGGAAACCATCATCATCATCATCAGAATTCACAAAATGACGATTCAGTTTTTAATATATATTCACATATAATGTAGTTCAAAAGTTATTGTCTTCATTTCTAACGTTGAACACCTCTGTGGATTTGTCTATAGTCAGTCAGTCAATCAGCTATAATGAAGGATCAGGCACATATATACATCGATCCAACTTTTGTCTATGGTTATAAATGACTATTTATTTACAATATTATAAAACAAATCGAATATAAACTAGGCAAATAACTGATCAAGAAAACTGTATATATAAAACAGTATGGAAGTTTACAGTGAATATATGATGAATGAATTCAAAGAAAGAGTATACATGAAAATTAGTTAGTTATAAAGATGAGAACAGTACAAGATTGTGTAAAATATACAACTAGGAAAGGTAACAATACATGTGTATATACTTTGATCTCTTCATTTGATCATTATTATTATTATTATGATTACTAGTATACACACCTTTTTCCATGGTAATGATGTTTGAACAGTGACTAAATTGACTTCAGATGAAGCATAACTATAAATTTCATAAGAAATAGCTGGTTCAAATGATCCAATTGGATATGTAATAGACCATTGTAAACAAACTCCTAGAAAAGAGAAAGAAGAGCAAAATAAAGCAAGATTTATGTTATGTCTAATTATATTTTTATTATCATTGCTACTACAAGTATTTCAACATATTTACTATGCCCCCAAATGCTCTGGTATGGCCGAGAGTGAGGAGAGTCCGCTCTCCTTCTTGAAATGCTCTCATATGGCCACATGCATACAACCACTGCCAGGAAAGTCCTACTCACTGCCTTCTTGCGGCGGGAGTGTTGTTTACGAAGTTGAGAGGACGAAAAGCGAATGTCCGGCGCTTTAACCGGGTTGATGGACAAGAGGAGTCCACCTAGAGGAGTTGGAAAACCCTGATTCCAAACCAATGGTGCACATGGGCTCCAGTATCCTGCGGGAACAAATGGCGTATGAACCTATTGTTGGTCACCGGCTTCCATGGGACTGCATCTCCTCACGATGCTCCACCGCCTTGTGAGTTAGACCTTAAGGTCGAAGGCTTGGGGTTTGGCCCCTAAGAAAACCACCCGCTTCGGTTTGGGCACCCGGGCAGTATCACAGCCCTCACACATATCAAATGAGATCTGTGTGGCGCATATGTATTTGGTGCCTCCTTGTACCATTATCTATGTGTTAAAATAAAACAAATAAAAGATAACATATTTACTATTCATCTCATCAGTCATGTCACCACGAACACTAGCACTCAACACAACTGTTATATACAAAACTTTTGATTGCTTCTAACAGTTCATCAAAAAGAATGAGTGTAGACACAAGGTTCCAACCAATGTAGGCAAAAAATACCGTGCATTTAAAAAAGTGTAGAATGCATGCTTTACTCACAGACACATAAATTGGCAACTAACTGCGATTTGGATAGATTGTATGTCATTACATAATAAGACAGATATCATCCGCATACTCAAGGTTGGAAAGTTATTCTTTACGTAACAGATCCACACCATCATTACCTAATTCTATCAGAACTGTTTCCAAAACTTATTTCATTAGTTTTATGTAAGGAACAACAATAGTGAGACAAGTAGAAAACAATCATGTTGATATGGAAATCAATATGCTTTATATTCATTGTAATTTTTAAGGTAAAAGTTGAAGAAAATAAACTAATTACAGGGAAAAAAACTACTGAATAATGTGTGCTCATCATAGTATAGACTAACTAACCTTCAGCGGCTTCTGCAATAGTTAGCTGAGGAACAGGTTGCAATGGAAGATGGTTGATATTAGTTACTGGTTGTGTTGGAACTGGAGGTAGCAAAGCAACAGGAAGTAGCTGAATATCGGGAATAACAGAGTATGGTAGAGAATTGGTTATTTGATTAGTAGTTATATTCTGAGCTTGAGATAAAGATGCCAAGTCCAAATATGATTGCTTTGAATTCCCATTATCCAGACTATTACCAGTGTCAAATGTGAATGAAGTTGGAACATTAATTGTGGAAATAATCCCGTTCTGTAAATCTTAATATGAGTAGACAAAAAAGTGTTAAGGTAGAATCAAGAAAGTACTCCTAAACGTATTTATAAAAACCCGAAGTAGATGATTAAATAATGAGGCATGTTGAATAACTTGCTAACCCTGAGAATCTCATTGGTCTCTGATCACTCGAATTTTACTAATCTTCATCGCTTGTAGAACAGGCAAGTTGTCCGTTTGTCAACTAAGAGAAGAAGTATCTTGAGTAGCAGTCCGCTCTATATTACAATATTGACGAGAAAAACGGGTTATGAAAACAGATGTGTGTGGGATTCAAGTATATTATTGTAGTACGCTTGAAACCCTACATTATCGACTTGTTCCGATTATTAGATTGTCTTGATCTCATCACCGTATTATTTCTGATTGTTTTTAATTGCTTTCATTTCTAAATATAAGTGGATTCTATGTGCCTACTGAGTCACCGGTTCAGTCTTTCCCTCTTCCGAATGATTTTATTTATTTAAACATATAAACATTGGTACAAGAAGGCACCGAATAGATATGCGCCCCAAAACCATTCGATTTGTGTGAGGGCTGGGATACTGCCCGGGCCCCCAAATCGAAGCAGATGGTTTTACTAGGGGGTACACCCCGAGCCTTTGGCCTAGAGGTCTAGTCCACAAGACAGTGGAGCAACGTAAGGAGATGTAGTCCCATAGAAGCCGGTGATGAACAATAGGTTCACACACCATTTGACCCCTTAGGATCCTGGAGCCCATATGCACCATTGGTTTGGAATCAGGTTTTCCCAACTCCCACCAACCCGGTTAAGGCGCCGGGCATTCACTTTTCGCCCTCTCAATCTCGTAAAAAACACCCCCGCCGCGAGAAGGCAGTGAGTAGGACTTCCCTGGCAGTGGTTGTATGCACGTGACCATGTGAGAGCATTTGGAGAGAGAGAACTGACTCTCCCAATTTCGGCCATACCAGGGCATTTGGGGGCCTTCTGGATAATCGCACTTACTGCTCCTAACACTTACCCACTACATGAGGTACCTTCTGGCTAGACGCAAACCTACCAAAGGTCGGACGTTACATTATCATTGGCGTTTTTAAAGCATTGCTTGCAGATGGTGCACCGAGTGACGCTAAGCATAGATGTAGGGTACTAGGTGAAAAGAGTAAGTCGACTAACCGGCAATAAAGCTTCAACTGAAATGGTTAGGATATATGTTACTTGTGCCTGACTAACGTCTACTCTGATGTACAAAGCTGATTTAGGAGAAGGTTAGAAAAAAATATACGAGTGGTTAGACCAAGAAAAGGGCAACAGTTCATGAAGTTGTCGAGCAGTGGTCTGAGTAGTACTGTTAGATGCATACTACATAATCGAGAGCGATGCCATGCACGTAACCATTAGTTACAGATGCTAGGTAAAAAGAGGAGAAATAGATTGTGACTTGGGAGTTGCATTCATTTTTTTTATCTACCGTTAAAACTTGAGTGATACTATAATCGAAAGTTAGCAATGGTTTTGGTTCCGAGTCAGACAACATCATCGACATTAATTCATTTTCAGGTTCCCCAACAAGAAATATCCTTTCAATAGATTGATTGCTATGATTTACTTATTGATTCAATAAACATAAACAATGGTACAACTGGGTAGAGTACCAAAATAAGTATGCACCATGGAAATAAGGAAATGAGATTATGAATGGATAGAAAAAATATGGGGAGTATAATCAGAAATAAATAAAAGAATGAAAACAAACGAACAAAAATAGTAAATAGTGAGAGTCCCTTTAGTTATTACATGAACATAAAGGAAAATTACACCAGGACCTCCACGAGCTTCTATTTTGAGCCATGTCTGATATGTCAAGCCAGTGAGTTGTATTGGACAGGAAGCCTTAATGGACCAGCAGACACTAGTCTTACACAGTTCTACTTTGTACAACAGCATTATGCTATAAAATGACCACCTCTTCGCCTAGTCGCAGCATTGATAATCGGATAATCAATGCACGATATGGACGTCGCTGGGATGACAGTCGTCTGATCCACCGAAGTCAATATTTTAAGATGATGATACTAATTGAATTGTTGTCACTGTACCCAAACACACATTGATGAACCTCAGCATTACTAACATGGCGCTGCCACCGGATGTCAGCAATCTTTCGAAGACAATGATGATCGAACAGAAAGTAGTCGCACACTTCCAACTTGGGGAGGTCAGGTTTTGCAATCCCAGAGCAGAACTGTTTTGACCAATGAAGTGTATACTCTACCTTTTACAGTCGGATTAATATTACGACGGAGCCAAAGATGGTCCAGATTACCATGAGCCTATCTGGCTTTAATTATAATTAGACGGATCTTATCAGTCACTCCACCGTCAACACTTATACAACAACTCGGGCAAATAAACTTCGACTACATTGGAATTTTCCTCAGTTCGACGATAGATTTGAAAAGAACAGATATAAGTATCATCCATTGGAGAAATTTCATATAAGCTTTATGGTTAAAGATGAAATTGAGAATAAAATAATGAGGAATGAATAAAAGCATACGCTTGTGCATACTTGAAAGAGGTGTGGCACTGTGTTTATTTATTTTTTTCGTATTTGTTGAGCCAGAAACCAAATGTTCTTCCCAAGCATTCTCTATATTAGTGTCTGATGTCAGGTCAATAGTATCATTGACCTGGATAGCTAAAACTGTACCTGATGCAGTTTGAGGAGGAACACACTGAAGTTCGAAAGTTTTTGGTAGAACAGATAATAATCTAGATGAAACAGAATTCGATGAAGTTAGATTCGGCTGTCGATTCGAAGGATTCACTGTTTGTATAGATCGATCTGGCGCGGATACCGAAGGAGAATGAGATAGTACAGGTAAACGAGGAGCTTGAGAAGAAAGAGTTCTCGACTGACCAATACCACTTGTTGGAGCAGGCAAAGGAATCTACCGGAAGAATCACGAGAAACACACAAAAAATCAGAAGGTCAAAAACTTCATAGCACTGTCTGTCATATGTTTCAACAATAACATAAAGTAATTGAGAATATCACTCACTCGCTCATTAATCAATTTCGTCAAGTCTTTTGACGAAGACTCAATGAAATCCATTCGACCTGTTAATTGAGTTATTTCTTCCTTTAAACTAGTTACTGTTTTTTCTGTTGTCTCAATAAAAGATATATATTTGGACAATTTCTCTTTTAGAGCAAGTTTTAATTTTGAATCGAAACAGAGTCGAACTTTTTTAAGTTCTTCTTGAATTTCTGGTAAGCTTTTTAAGTTGCAAATATTGTAACCATCCTTGAAACCATTATTCAATTTACAAACAGTATCTTGTTGCTCAAATAACCTAGGTTTTTTAACTGACGGACCTTGAGTACATGGATCACAGTCATTATGATTTTCAACAATTACATCATTCAACAAAGTGCAATTTGAATTAGGAATAGGTGTATTTTGTGTAATGTTAAAAGAATCTGTTACATCTGCGTTACAGGACAGATCTGACATGACAAACAATCCACTTAAGCATAAGTAAATGAGACCTACAATAAGATGAAAAAAAAACAAAGGAGTGAAGATCCAGAAAGAAAGCATAAATATCAGGACATACCTTATTTTTTACCCGACGATTATTATAATTGTATTTATTGAACCTAATTTGACAGTTTCTAGATTTGTGGATTAAAAAACTGTTTGACTTGATTAAGAAGCAAAATATTCTTTTCGTCTTGTACATATACTACCACTTATATACAATAAGTCAGTCCTAAGCCCAGTAGAACCTAGCACATATGAGCATGGGTTCACGTTGCTGTACCCTACTAACACAGCAAGATGAAACCATCGACAAAAATGGTAGAATAGTAGATGAAATAACAGTATCAATGGTCGTAGAAAAGATTGGGTGTACACAATATGACATTCAAGAAGAATAAGGACACCTACAAACGGTTATCTCTTTCACATTAACTCATATTCATAAATATTTCGATTAACTAATATTATTCATAATTATTTACATAATTAGTTGTAGTGTAGGATCAGCAAACTGGTAAAAAGAAATTTCTGGAACGTGTCACAGAGCCATATCCGATATAAAACTGATTTGCGACTGGAACTTCCAGTGGTAACTAACTTGTAAACTAGAGGCTCACAGGATCGACCAGGTTGCATTTTTTGGTACTAAGGTTACTGATACTATTTGGTTGCCCAAACCGAAGTAGATATAGCGTGGTTTGAATGTGAAATTAAATGGTTGAGCCGATCGCTTTAACTGCTAAATCATCACTGCGATAAATCCACACGATTGTACACTCTATATACATAAAGTTTTATTTATAATATTACATCCAGACAACCATCCTATGATTCCAGGGGGGAGGAAGTCAATATTTCGGAACATTTCCAAACGGTAGACAAAGGTGGTGGTACGATTTCCGGACATCTGTTGCAAAGAAAGATCACAGACGTTAGTCATACTTACCTTAAATTACCTTGAGAAAGATTGTGGTCGTATATGAGCTTCCTATTTACATCGCAGTTTTCTATAGAAGCGGTTGTCTTGGACACCATCAGGGTGGCGACTGATACTAACATTCACCCTATCTAGCGGTAACCCGCCCGTCGGTGAGTGGTTAAGGCACCTATATCTCAAGAAAGACTTTGGAGATTTAAAAACCACTTCATCTAATTTGACTAAGTTAGACAGGAAGTATCACTACTGTTCAAGCAAAGTACCACCTAGTCAAGTGAAAGATCATTCATCGCGTAACACTTATACTTGGAAAGAGATATGACTTTCAAGTAAAATGTTTACTGTCAGCAACTAAGAATCAAGACACTTGTCTTTACTGTAATATGACCAATTATTTTATACAAAGATTAACACTGAACCTTGCCTTCTCAGTTTGAAACAACAGTCATAGCGTAGATCCCAACCACTGACAAATGACAGCGTATGTGTGATTTTACGTGGTTTGTCTTTAGAATATTTTCTTGATATGCAAGGTCTGGTTGGAAACCGAATCGTTAAGACAACTGTATGAGTGTCCTTGTTCGTAAATCATTATTTTAAAACATGTAGTGAAATACTGAGGTAGTGAATCTTGGATAGAACAATCAGGACATGGATACTTTCTCACTTCAAAACTTTTGTGAGTCAAAACTCTTCAACAATTTTGATGTCATCAAAATTCAGTATGCAAGAGGTTTACACAACAGGAACAATTGGTACTTAGAACAACTGGTCTCCAAAAGTCTTCATTTCCTTACAAATACAGCCCGTCACACAGTAACAATGTTAACTGGGATTTTTATGCATATCCTGTTAACAATTAGAAGCCATGACCATAATCATATTTGGAGCCAAATACTTTACCTAGTAAATAGCGTCTGGATTTACTTCCCAAGATAATTATTTGAGTGCGTAATGTTGCGCATCTGGGGAAATGATGTGTTCGACCATCTGAATCATTGTTTGGTAGACGAAGACGATGAATGTGATTGGTCGAGATATAATACTTCTATAAACCATGTGTCATACAAGGTAGCAATCTGGGCTACATAAATTGATGGATAATACACACCACATTTAGTTAAATATTTTTTGTACTAAGTCAATAAAGTAAGTTGGATCTTCTCTTGGGAGGAAGTAGCGTTCTGTGTGAAACTGAGCTAAGCATACCTTGGAGATGATCACCTTCAAGTGCTGATGGGATGATAACATTTAACGTACAGTCCCGGGAAGGTTAATATATATCGAGACCCAAACATTTAGGCTCAGAAACAAGCCATGTTATCATTTAGTTCGAACAATCCGCCCAACCATATGTTAAGGAAATTAACAGTCGTCCTGACCACAGCAATGTGAAATGTAGCGGATTTATTGAGTATCGTGACACATAAACAAGGATTCAGGACGTATAATATCCGACACAATTACGAACTAAAGTCTGGTATACTCAACTTTTAAAGACGATTACCACAAAGAATGTGCTGTCTATGATACAAAAGATATTCAGGTATATTTTATTAAGAAACTATGCAGTCATATTTGCACAGAATGTGTAACCGAACCATGTACAGTTGTGAAGTACATATCAAAACAAACAATAACATACCGGCAATACAATACACGCGTAACCCAGCAGCGGAGAAGAGGTGAGTGCTTAGTTCGATGCAACAGAAAAGAGCATAACCATAATGCGACAACCCACACTAATCAGTTCGTCTTGTTTATAGAACTTCAAAACAGTGGGAGTCTTGAGCGGTTAGCGAATAGTTAGTAAAACACAGATACAATAACTACAAATCACTTTGCAGGATCGATTTGTTTAAATGAACTATGTAGTAGTAGCAACCAAAGCGATCAAGGTGCCGTGGTGTGACAAGTGGGATACTAAGACACATATATGGTAGTCAAGGTTTCCAAGAAATATAAATTGACGACATATAAACCTCCTAATAATTATGTAAAACTGTCAAGGTCGTCAGCAAGTCCTGTAACCTTGACGCCATACTGTGGTTACTACAAATGTCTAACAGTGATGTAGTGTTCTTGATAAATCTCGGTTATTTTCGAGTTAATGTACAGTGATCAAATATTATAACGGCTACGTACTTACGAAGTTGAGCACAGAGTTTGTAATTGCATAAGGCGGTATCACAAAGTCAAACAAAACGTATCCTATTGATATTCTATAATAATTAAATATCTTGTCCAGGAACAACATGGTATTCGCCGTAGGAAAATTTATTTTGACATTCACCGTTCCCATATTTTTGTGTTTATTCGATCGGGTTATCCATTGAACCCTGTATGCGCTTCATGAACGGGAAGTCTGATCCTAACGTTATTTGCATTTCTCAAAATCTTTCTGTGTTCTTACCCAACAAATAAACCATTTTGATCCAAGGAATTTGTCCTGAGCTCAACGTTTGCCATGTTACTTTTCTGTCTGAGATTTACCCTAGTCAATAGTTGACTATGTTTTTTGTCTCAGCCTTCAGTTTTCCACATCAAAGATAGTTTTGGTGTATCTAAACCTTCTGTAATACCCGTTTTCTATCCACTTTACTCGTTTTGAGTGTATTGCTTTTTGTTTTACGGTCGTAAACCTTTGGTAGGATCTGTTAAGCAACTCACACCACCAGAGTCATGAAGAACTCATGCAAGCGGCCTGGATGGAATTTCGCTGTCACCTATGGTATGCAGTGTGAAAAATGGAAAAGTTGGTTTCATGAAGCATGCACAGATATTACAGTAACTGCTTACTACAGACTCTGTATGTCGGATTGTAGGTGGATATGTGACACATACAACATAAATGCTGAGGATTTGCTGAGCAACATCATCATTATTTTGACAACTTTGAGAAAAAGGTTGTCAGCAAATCTGAAAAAAGACAGTTCTGGAACGGATAAACAAACAAAGACGTGCAGTGAAGTAAAGAAGAGGATCTTCGATAACGTTAGCATCAATCGAACATTCATCGACATTAGTGAGGATATGCATATGCTCAGCACCACCATAACGTCGAGTGTAAAGGACTCTCTCAGTAAAGTTGGGTTTCTTGGCACAGGCTCCCCAAATGCAACTGTGGCCCCCGAAAATTCTGTAGTCCACTGGTCCACGTTAAAAGAGTGTCGAATGTCACCGCCCGTATCTTGTAGTGAAATCAGCTGGTGATTTGAACACACAATCTACACCTAAGTTTATCCAACCGGTCTGTAAAGAGCACAAGAATTCGAGACGCATTTCAACTCCCTAACAAGGAGAAAATCGACCTAGACGTACCAGGAAACCTGGGAAAATGGTTACAGTTCGCGTTGACTCACTCATAATCATGAATCCTAAAGATAGCTCTGACATTCCGCTCAATCTGCAAAAATCACAGGATGCTCTGAAAATAGTTGAATTACGAATATTATTAAATATTACAAATATATTATTCGTTTAGTTGAACACGAAGCTCAAACTCCATAAAACAGAGCTACCGACGGTTACATGGCTCACTCGGGGTAATGATTGCAAGCACAAAAGTCACTTAGTGTAGCGTTCACCAACACTGCCGACGTAGATGATGTTCTGACGGCTATTCACCTGCTGCAATCAGATGAGGCTACAATAATACCACTACCTGGCACACCATATTCTGAGTATAATCTCATCAAGAGCGTCTCTAAGGAATCTCGCGAGACATTCTTTCGCGGAAGAAAACAGATCATGAGTACGCAGACACCGATATTCAGTAGTGGAAATTCATTAGGCAGTCGTTGAGGCTCAAGAACATATTGACTAGACAAGTGGTGAGACAAAACAAGAAGGATAAGGATTCTAGACCCCGATTATTGAAGACAACCCTCGGATCCTCCCATATGGCGGCTGTCACTCTTGAACTATTTCATGCCAACAGACGTCGGTCGCCAGTTGGAATCCACGTCCATTTGGATAGACCACATTATGACATGATTGAGCACAAAGACAAGTTGGAGCTAACTATCTCACTTGTAGACTGTCAAGACCATGAAAAAAACGTAAAGAGTATAGGATCTACCAATTTGGAAGTCCCTATATATGTAGGTTGCTTTTCCATTCACGTAAGGTTTATACAGACTAACAGGACGGGGAAAGTATAAACTGCTCATGTATGAACACCACAAGTTTACCAAATAAAATGGATAAGCTGGGTGAACTCAGTAATGCTAATAATACTCATCTGATAAGAATATCTGAAACATGGATATCTTCACAAACTACGAGCTAGGAGCTAACAATGCTCGGCATGTCTTTGTTCCGCAACGACAAAAAACAGGGAGGGGGACGGAGTAGCTCTGTACCTGTGACCTTTTTAGTAGTACGTCCAGTGCACACCGAAGAGTTTGTCAATCTAGACGAATCTGTAGGGTGCTCAATGAGATCGTCTAACACCTTGAGATGTCTAGTTGGAGTCATCTACAGAAAGTCCACTGTTGACACTGAGTTTGACAATCATATGGTGGAAGGATAATCTCACTCTACTCGCCTCGGACACATTCATATCTTGATTCTAGGGAAATTCAATCTCCTTAAAGTCAACTTCGCTAACCACACAAACATTGGGAGTGACAAACCTTCTGAAGCCCGGTCCGTCTACCTCATTAAAGACCAGGGATTATTCGAAAATGTCAAGTCGGCAACTCATCGGAGAAACAGTCAAACGCCGTCGCGCTTAGACTGAATTTTAACGAAAGAGGAATTCCTAATTGACAACTTCCCACTCTTGGTTCCTCTGAATGAAAGTAATCACACCTTCATAGCCTTCAATCTTAACAGCGAATATGATTTAAGAGACCTCCACCAACAATCTACGCTGGAATTTCAAACGGTTGTATGTGTCAGCTTTACAGGACAATCTACAGCGGATGGACCTGAAAGTTCACTCTCAACTTAATGTGGATGCTCAATAAGATTTCTTACTGCACATTATCTTATATGCTGCATGGCAGAACATTCAAAAAACTGTCCCCAAAAACGAAAGGAAACCTACAGTCTTCGAGAAGCATACTCTTCATTTCTTAAACCACCAAAGACTCTACTTGGCTGAATACTGACGAACTAGTAACAACAGCGTACACAGACGATCCAAGCAAGCAAAGTATCAGTGAACAAAGACAGTAAGAGAAAACAGGCTTCAGTATCAAACAAAACTAACCGGAAAGTTTTTCTTCACCTCGGATAGTTTGTTCCATCATGCAGCCTCTCTTCGACAGTGCAAAACCGGAGTTTCTTTTCACCCTAACAGCGCGATTTGAGAAATGGTCACTCTTGTATAACTAACCTGCTGACCACAATGGGCTGGTGGACAAATATCCTTTATCACAAGGTGGAGGTTGGCGTCATATACATTGACTTCTCAAAAGCTTTTGATAGGGTCAACCATATGTATCTTATCAGTAAGCTCAAACGATTAGATATCAAATCATCTTCAATTGTTTGAATAACTTCATAGATAAAAAGTCGATATTTAAGGGACAGGGTCAACTTCACTTTCTTTTGAGGCTACAGGTTGTTCTAGTGAAATCTCCCAAGGTTCGGTCCTTGAATCTTATGTTTTCTTGATTTATATAAACGATCTTCCACAGCAGGTATCGTCAGATTCATTAATTTTTGCTGACAATGTGAAACTATAAAGAGAAGCACGCAACCAAGGGGATAAACCAGCACTTCATGAGGATCTGACTCGAATTCAAAGTTGGGCGAATGACAACGGACTTACCCTTGTCACTTCAAAGTGTAAGGTAGTTCATTTGAGACATGTTGCAGACCACAAATACAACTTAGTTAATTCCCTTTCGAAAAGTATCTCAAGTCGAAAAAGTTCTAGGGGTGTTGGTACTCTATAAGCTGAAATCCTAAGCTAACTGCGGCAAGAATGCTTTTCGAATAAACCTTGCACTGGAGATGTCGAAGCCCATTTTTTTACCATTTCGATAGATAAACTTTCCACATCATCTTCAACAGTTTTGTTCGTCCCCGTTTGTGCTACAGAAATGTTGTATTTCCTCCCTTACTTCAAGGAGATAAGGTTACATTGAACATATTCAACGGAGAGCCACGAAATCAGTTTATGGACTGAACTTGAAGTCTTATGAAGAGCGCCTTCAACCGCTGAATCTTTACCCATCCGAGTACAGGCGTCTTACAGGTGACCTTCCAATAACTTATGGCATCCTGGACATCCACTTAAAAACCTAATTGAGTCCAGTCCCGACACAAACCTTAAGAATAGCACCCAGAAACTGGATACACAAAATGGCAGAACGGACTGTGGCACACGTTTTACAGCATCAGGGTATTATTATCATTATTCACAAACATTTTATGGGTACACAAGTTCTGTGAAGAAATCATTTTGGGTTTCTTCAAAATTGCAATACTCGAGTTTCAATAATGTCAGCATTATATGTGCCATATTTGAAAAAGAGAAAAAATGTTAGATCTCGCTGCCGGCTGAGATTGTCGAAGCAGATTCCCAGTAGTTTTTTAGGCGAAAACTTGATATATTCTTAAGGACCGAGGACAGTATCTCACTATTATTAAGCAGTTTTTTCCTCTTTTATGGTTTATATACCATGGCTCCTACCTTGAGGCATTGGTGACTCACTGCTATTAGATATAGAAACCTGTTGAGCGAAAACTTCTTCAATTCAATCCATTACCAGTCGAAGCATTATGTGAAATCAGAAGACATTAGTTTACCCCGGATAGATAGTTCAAAGACCACTTCACAGTAGAATACAAGCCATCACTGTTTGTTGTGTCTTGTCAGGTTTTTACATATTGGTAGCGGGACACATCAAGGTATTTACCTGGGACTACTTCCCTTATAGTTGTTTACTAACAGTGTATTAGAAAAAACCGAAGTGGAGCATCAAACTCTTATCATCTCGAGAATTCTAGCATCAAAATTTCAACCAAAGGAAAGGACCTAATCTTTAACCTAAAAAACAAGCTGGGTTACT